GATGACGCTTTTCGGTTTGAGACGGTTCGGACTTTAAAGACGAGGGGTGAGGTATATTTAGTAGGTCGCAGTTGAAGTCCGCGGGGTTTGGTCTTTTTACATGTATACCCTTATATTTATCTTATTTATACATTTATTCTTTAACTCGGCAAATTTTCTCATTTTTTGTTTAGAAGTAAATAAATGATTTATTAGTGCCGAATAATTATGATTAGATGATGTAAAGTACATGCATTAATGAGAAAAGGAAAAGGCAATATGGGCAAGCTCAGAAACCCGCACAAACATCAGATAGCATCGCAATGATTTAAGTATAAAAATCAAGATATTTATTAAGATATTTATTGACGGACACTTACCTTGCTCTTTATCTCTCTTGGTCCTGTAATCTAAGGAGGTGTTTGGTTTAATTTCTATAAATTATATAAAATGATTTTCATCCAAAATATGATTTTCTTGTATTTCTTAAAAAAATTATAAATTTTTTTTTGAGAAGTCAAAAAGTACTAATTTCTTTGTTTTTTTACTTTGCTTGTTTGGTTTAAAACAAGAAAAATGGCTCACAACTTTATAGAAAATAGCAATATTTTCTATAATTTGTAGAAATTAAACCAAACACCCCTAAATTTATAGAAAAGTGTCAACTTTATAGAAAAATGTCAATGTGGTGTCATATTTCTAGGTAATTTTGGTCTATTTTGAGAGAAATTTGATTTCTATAAATTTTGGTATTTTTTTATACTTTACAGAAAACATTTCTGTAATTTTTTTGAACCAAACGCAGTTTACCGAAATCTACAGAAAAATTTTAATTACAGAATTACCATTGTCAAACATTTTGAGAAAGATTTTCTATAAAATTGTGCAACCAAACACCCCCTTAATAGTGAAACAATCGTATTTTCACCTTCGAATTATTCTTATTTTAAAATAACCTATTATTCATTTTCATAGATCCTCTAGAAATATTTGCTCAATTTTTCCGTAGATTTTTTGCTCATAGAAGATATAATATAGTCAAATGCATGCCTCTCTCTAAAAAAATATGGATTTTTTTTTCACATCGAGCATACCATATTTACAGATTTAAGTCCATATTTTCGAAGTTATCCTTAAATGAAACGATACAAATTGCAATAGGAAATAAAATATGGGATGAGGTAGGAAATATACACGTATTTAATGGGTCCTCGGAGTTCGGAGTTTTTTATTTGGCCCCTTTAAGCGGTCCCCACTACTCAGTGAGAAGGTGAGGAAGTGATATGTGTTCGCATTGTTGGATCCGGTGAGCAGGCGTGAGGTTACCGCGCGCTGAGGTCAAACAGGGTGGCAACTGGCAAGCGTGAATGATTTGGGGTAAAGTTACCGGGGCGGTGACGGGAAAGGGAATGTTTCGGTTGATAATGAGTTAATGAGTTAATTAATAGAGTAATAACAGAGTGGTTGACTTTTCAGGTCAAGTGGGGTTCACGCGGGAGTTGTAATCACAAAAAGTAAGCAGCTTTGATAACTTGGAATATTAATGGCTACTTTTTCTTCGTGAGCCTTCGAAAGTTTATATTTTGCACATTTAAATCATTATATTTGATAATTTACTTGTTAATTTGTTAATGGATACTCTGAATATGTTAGTGCAGTTTTTTGTTAGAAAAAAAGAAGGGAAAAATGCTTCCGGCCCCCAAAATGAAAGAAAACTTGTCTTCCACCCCCAAGACTTTTTCAACGGGTGTTTTGCCCCCAAAAGTAAATTTTTTGTTCTCTGAGCCCCCAAAACACAACACCCAAGTAATTTAAATATGTGAAGACTATAATACCCTTCTCTCTCTTTTTTTATCTGTTATGAATTGAAAGAGCTTCCTCCGTCAATCCCAGCGGAGAAGCTCCGACGTGGAGGTCAGCGAGGTTCAGAACCTGGAGGTCGACGAGATCGCCGACGGCGAGGTCTTGGGTGCTCACCGGAGATCTCGTTGGAGGCGAGAGAGAGGACTCTGAGCTCGGCGGAGGAGGGGAGAGAGGAGGGGAGGGAGCCATTAAGGAGGTTGGCAGAGAGGTCGAGGTGGCGGAGGTGGGGGAGGAGGAAGAGGTCTGAGGGGAGGGAGCTGAGGAGGCAGGCGCCATGGAGGAGGAGGCGGACGACGCGGGAAACGGAGGTGAGGGTCAAGATTCTGTCGGGGAAGTCGGTGCACGTGACGCCGTTCCAGGAGCAGGGAGACTCGTCTTAGTCCCAGTTGGAGAGGACGCTCAGCGGGTCGTCGAGAACGGAGTACTTGAAGGAGAGGAGGAGGGTTCCGTCGGAGTTGAGGGAGGAGACCAGAGAAGGTAAGACGAAGAGGAGGAGGAAGAGTCTCCAATGGGGGACTCTGGAGCTCGCCATGGATGAGTTGGAGCTTCGAAGAGAGAGAGAGAGAGCTAGTGCATTTTTTGTAGAGAGAGAGAGAGAGGAAAAGAATCACCTGCGCTAGTTTTATTTGGAGAAGAGTCGCTTACCGAATCCATGGAGGAGCTGTTGACGCATCATAAAATAGTCGGGGATGCTTTGGAGTTGGAAAGATATTTTCATATAAACCCCCTTAAGAATTTGGGCTTTTATGTGGTTTGCAATTTGTAAAGATTTAACAAAAAATAGTTGAAGGTTACGTGTTAGTTGTTAAAATTACGTGTTAATTGTTAAGGTTACGGGTCAGTTGTTAAGGTTACAAGTCGGTTGTGAAGGTTACACGTTGGTTGTTAAGGTTACTGGTTGGCTGTTAAGGTTATGAGTTGGTTGTTAAGGTTACGAGTTGACTGTTAAAGTTACAGGTTAGTTGTTAAGGTTACGAGTTGGCTGTTAAGATTACGGCCCCGTAACCTTAACAACTAACGCGTAATAAGTGAATTCTCATAAGCATCAACAGTAGGCAATTAAAGAGCTAAAAAATAGAAAACAAATATTATAAAAATATTTATTGTGGCTGTAGGGGTTTGAACCCCTAACTTGTCCAACCTCGCAAACTTTACCACTAGGCTAAATGGCTCAAAGTATTCATATCACTCAAAAAATATATACATATATATCCCAACGCGTAACCTTAACAACCGACGTGTAACCTTCACAACCGTCCCGTAACCTTAACAACCGACTCGTAACATTAACAACCAACCCTTAACCTTAACAACCGACCCGTAACCTTAACAATTAACACATAACTTTAACAACCAATGCGTAACCTTCAAATGTTTTTTTTGTTAAATCTTTACAAATTGCAAACCACATAAAAAACCCAAATTCTTAAGGGGGGTTTATATGAAAATATCTTCCCAACTCCAAAGCATCCTCGACTATATTATGATCCGTCAGCAGCTCCTCCATGGATTCGGTAAGCAACTCCTCTCCAAACAAAACCAGCGCAAGTGATCATTTTCCTCTCTCTCTCTCTCTACAAAAAATGCACTAGCTCTCTCTCTCTCTCTCTCACTTCGAAGCTCCAACTCATCCATGAAGAGCTCCAGAGTCCCCTATAGGAGACTCTTCCTCCTCCTCTTCGTCTTACCTTCTCTGGTCTCCTCCCTCAACTCCGATGAAACCCTCCTCCTCTCCTTCAAGTACTCCGTTCTCGATGACTTGCTGAACGTCGTCTCCAACTGGGACTACGACAACGAGTCTCCCTGCTCCTGGAATGACGTCACGTGCACCGGCTTCCCCGACAGAATCTTGACCCTCACCTCCATTTCCCGTGTCGTCGCCTCGTCGGCCTCCTCCTCCCTGGCGCCCGCCTCCTTGGCTCCCTCCCCTTTGACCTCTTCCTCCTCCCCCACCTCCGTCACCTCGACCTCTCCACCAACCTCCTCAATGGCTCCCTCCCCTCCTCTCTCCCCTCCTCCGCCCAGCTCAGGATCCTCTCTCTCGCCTCCAACGAGATCTCCGACGAGCACCCAAGACCTCCCCGTCGGCGATCTCGCCGAGCTCCAGGTGCTGAACCTCGCTGACCTCCACGTCGAGCTTCTCCGCTGGAATTGATGGAGGAAGCTCTTTCAATTCATAACAGATAAAAAGAGAGAGAGAAGGGTATTATAGTCTTCACATATTTAAATTACTTGGGTGTTGTGTTTTGGGGGCTCAGAGAACAAAAAATTTACTTTTGGGGGCAAAACACCCGTTGAAAAAGTCTTGGGGGTGGGAGACAAGTTTTCTTTCATTTTGGGGGCTGGAAGCATTTTTCCCAAAAAAGAATTAAAATAAAACGGTTTATCAATCCTCTTCTTCTTCTTTTGTTTATTTTCTTATTCCAAAAAATAGAAAAGAAAAGAAAGTAGCAACCAAATTTTTTTTTATTCTTAGGGGGTGTTTGGTTGCACAATTTTATAAAAAAAATTTCTCAAAATATTTAACAATGATAATTCTGTAATTAAAATTTTTCTGTAGATTTTCGTAAACCGTGTTTGGTTCAAAAAAATTTACAGAAATATTTTCGGTGAAGTACAAAAAAATATAAAAATTTACAGAAATCAATTTCCTCTCAAAATGAACGGAAATCACACAGAAATCTGACATCGTATTGACATTTTTCTATAAATTTGATATTTTTCTATAAATTTAGGGGGTGTTTGGTTCAATTTCTATAAATGATAGAAAATCTTGCTATTTTCTATAAAGTTATGAGTCATTTTCTTGTTTTGAACCAAACAAACAAAGTAAAAAAACAATAAAATTTATATTTTTTGACTTCTCAAAACTTTTCCTATAATTTTTTTAATATATACAATGAAATTATATTTTGGATGGAAAACATTTCCCATAATTTATAAAAATTGAACCAAACACCCCCTTATTGTAGATAGTAATTTATCTTACGAGTGTATCAATTCCATGAGAAAAATCCTCAGAAAAATAAGAATGCTGTTAAAGCTACCCTTATTTAGACGCTAAATTTTAGGAGAGTAAAACTTTTTGAATCTTGATTTCTGAGATCAAACTCTAAGGAGGATCAGATGGCTTACAATATTGGATCA